TGCGCCATTAACCCCCAAAATCTCTCTACGTGGTTGTTCCGAATAGCTAGGACACGCTGATCATGGTTCAAAATCTTAACGTATACTACCAAAATGTCCGTGGTCTTAGAACCAAAACTGACAAATTTATGTCTAATCTACTAGGCAGTGATTATGATATTGTTTCATTGTCAGAAACCTGGCTTTATGACGGTATCGCCAGTAGTGACTATTTCCCTTCTTTTCTTTCTGTGTTTCAAGGAGATCGTGAATACACTTCCGGGATGAGATACGGCAGTGGTCTGCTTATAGCTTGGAAACAAACTTTGAACGCACATAGACGTCACGATTTAGAAACTTATCAAGAATCTGTCTGGGCGGAGATAGCTTCCGCTGAAGGGTTCAACCTTCTTATCGGATTAGAGCGGATCAGAGTGGGCCCGACAGCTTCCATCCGAGCAGGATTCCTAAGTTTTCCGTCATATCGTTACAGTTGCTATCTACCTTCCTGACACCGTCTTGGTCACCACTATCTGGGAACGGCGACACCATCATCGGAGGCAACATCACATCAGCGACATCTACAGATCCAAGTAAACTGCACCCGTCATCGCCGGCCTATTCTTTGTGGATCAGTCTTCAGCACGTGTTTCCTACGGTTCTGCCCCTGCTTGGCCCCAACCAGTCACCATCAGCCACCTCCGCGAGCTCAGCGCCACTCGGTAGACAAGCGGCGGCATCGTTCAACATCGCCAGTGGGCCCGACAGCTTCCATCCGAGCAGGATGCCTAAGTTTTTTGTCATATCGTTACAGGTCAGTAGTTTCAAACGCCTTGGCCTAAAGAGCAACAATGTGTGTCTTTTTTTGCTGCCGGGCCCCAAGGCATGCTCAGTGTTGTACCTCGAATGTTGTGAACTGTATCGCGTTGGTAGTGCTTGTGTTGCTGCCTACGTAGAAAGTGTTAGATATATGTCACTTTTAATCCTCGGAGGGGATATTGAGACTAACCCTGATCCTATGACGAAAGCGCAAGAGGACCTTCTTAACCAAGTTTTCAAAATCGTCACGTCATTGCAGACTGGCCAGACTAGCATACTCCAGGAGGTTAAAGAGTTAAAAGAAAAACAAAATAGTACTGATGAATCGTTGAATGCCCTCACCACACGAGTGTGCCACTTAGAAAACGAACTTTCCGCAATAAAAGAAGCAAGTGCAAGTAACTGCATAACATCTGATCCCCAGATAACATCCGCGGTTTCCGAGATATCAGAACTTAGGGCGCGCTGCGATGATGCAGAAAGCAGGGCGCGCAGGTCGAATCTTCTTTTTTTTTTTTGGCCTACCCGACGGGGAAAGGGAAACTTGGGCACAATCGGAAAAAGCTGTTCTGGACGTGTGTCGCGAAAAATTGGGCATCCAGCTTTCAACATCAGCTATCGAAAGAGCGCACCGTCTTGGCAGGTTCAGTAACCAAAACCATCGCCCCATTATTGTAAAAATGGTCTATAAAGAAAAGGAGACGGTACTTTCAAACGCTTTTAAGCTTAAGGGCACCCCTTTTTCCGTTAGTCAAGATTATAAACCGTCCGTCCGCCTTGCTAGGCGGAAACTGAAACTGATAGGGTTCGCCAGGTCACATGGAAAGCCTATCAAATTGCGTTTCGACAAACTACTCGTTGACAACAAATGTTGCTTCTACGCGCCTGGCACAGACTCCGCTCGCGAACTAAATCCACCTGAGCGTAACTTCGAGCCAGACGGGACTCCTTCCGGACTTGATGACCCCGTCATGGTGCTCGGAAAAACCGGCAGTTCTGACCCAGTACCTGCTCTGTCATAGCGTTCGGATGGCATTAGTGAGTCACCCCTTGTAAATATTTCTGTTATTTTTACTAACATTAGAAGCGTTATGCGTAACCGCGATGACTTGTCGTTAATTGTGGACTCATCAGACGCGGATGTTGTTGTTCTCACCGAGACCTGGTTGTCAAGCAAAATACGTAACGATGAAACCTTTAACTGTCATAAACGTTTCAATTTATACCGTCATGATAGAGGCGAAAAAAATGGCGGTGGCGTATTAGTCGCGGCGGCGGAAAACGTATTATAATTTCAAATCAGTATTGTTTCTGAACTGGAGCTTCTATGGGTTTGTCTTCAGTTAAAAACAAAAAAAATATATGTTTATATTTTAGGCGTGTGTTATCGCTCTCCTCCTAAAGTGCCACTTTTGTTACAAGACTACACGACGCCTATAACGGAGTCATGGTCCGTTTTCCCAATACGCCAATAATGCTTCTGGGTGATTTTGACCACCCTACCATAGTATGGTCAGATATGGGTGCTAGCCCCAGTCTCTTTTCTTCAGAGAGTAGTGAGTTTTTGAACTTGTGCTTGGACTTTAGCTTTTCACAAATTGTTACGCAAGCGACGCGTATACAACCACGACTGCCTCTGTTTTAGACTGTGGTGTAGACCGGCGAACGCGGCCAGAAGGCCGCAGAACAAGAACTGACACGAGGCAGGCACTGGACGCTGACTGATCTTTATGCCGATGGTGATGCTCTTATATACAATTGGTAATGCATGAGTTCAGCGCCCTCTATACACAACATATTTCCCCCCTTTAAACAAACAAAACCCCAGTAACTAGAACACAACTTTCACCAATAATTACAGTTAGTCACATAGCTCTGGAACCACTTTAACAGATAATTTTAGTGTAAAACATAATCATTGTATTTTCCGGGCATTCTTCTTTGCCGGTTGCCCTTGCTCCCGGTTGCCCTTGCTGTCCACAGAGTGCGACCCAGTAGAGGAGGTCATTGCTGTGGTGTCAAGCGTGGTAACAAAGAACCAATTGCAAGTGGAGACAGAGAAGGACGGCGTGTTACGAGAGGTGATGCAGTATGTCACATCTAGTTGGCCAGAAAAGAAATGTCTGTCAGGAAAGCTACTATCATTTTGGCGGATTCAAGAAGAGCTTTCTGTTCTGGAGGGGGTGCTGTTTCGTGCAGAGCGGGTGGTGCCTCCATCGACATTGGTGTCCAGATTCATCATGATGGCCCACGAATCGCATCCGGGCATCGTCAGGACAAAGCAGCGACTCCGGGAGCAGTATTGGTGGCCTGGGATGGACGAAGACGTGGAAAACTGCATTAGAAGCTGCGCTGTGTGCAAGGCATCAGACAAGTCTGCAAAGACCGCGGTGGCCCCTCTACAACCAGTGCAATGGCCCGAAAAGCCCTGGGAAAAGCTGGGCATGGATATTGTGGGCCCGATGGAACGAGCCCCTCCAGAGTGCAGATTTGCAGTAACTGTGATTGATTATCACAGTAAGTGGCCGGAGGTTTTTTTTGTGTCGTCGATAACTTCTCAGTCGGTGACGAAAGTGTTGTTGGAGCTATTCGCGAGGGAAGGATACCCAAAGAGTGTTGTCACTGACAATGGCAGACGATTTATGTCGACACAGTTTGAAGGGTTCCTACAAAACAGAGGAATTGAACACTGTGTGGCCTCGCTGTACTACCCGCAGTGCAACGGTCAAATAGAACGATTTAACCGCGTCTTAAAAGAGTATATTCAGGTGGCGGCACTGGAGCGGAGACCACTTAAAGGGCCCCTGAAAAGGAAAAAAAAGTTTTTTTTAAACACTCTGGTTGGGACACGCGTGTCAAAAAATGAATTTTACGCGAAAAAAAATTTTTTTAGAGCAATATTGACGGGGAGAGATTTATTTGAAGTTTTGCGCGCAAATTCCATGGTCATTCAGCTCGGCTTCTCATTGGTAGTGATGGTCATTCAACTCAGCTTCTCATTGGCCAATAGAATGAGTGACAGCTTAGATGTTGGTTTTAAAATCTTCGTGATTTTTTTAAATCGCCTGTTGAATTACATATTTTTAGGTTTAAGAAACAGTCCATTGAATGAACGTCGTAATTGTTTCCAAACGTTCTACAAAATCGTAACTTCCGTTCGGATATCGGAACATACAGAAGCTTCGCCATTTTGTTTTCTGTCATGGTCGCCGTCTCGTAACGCGTCTCGCGTACGTCGTGTACCTCGGGTGGTTTTATAGTTTTATCGCGTTTATATGTGAAGACCTCCTGAAGAGAGCTTGTTGCTTGTGTTAATTAGTCATCGTAAGTAGTTAGGAAGTTGCGCGGGGTGCCAGGTTTTTTTGTTTTTCTGCTCTTTGCGTGATTCGTGTGTCCCGTTTACCCCATCTTTTATCTGTTTGCTAGTGCGCGCCAGTGCCAATATTTTTTTTTTTTTTGAGATGTTGGTTTTTGTAAAGCGGCGGCGATGTCGGTTTCCGTAAAGCGACGGCGCTGTTCCGTCAGTTGCTGCAAGCCTAGTGATCGCGATGCCGAGTGTATCAGCAGCCATGCTGTCCCAGATCATTTGAGAGCTACTTGGTTGGAGGCAATCGGGGGTTCGTCTAGCGACACAGCTCTTCGGGTATGCTCGCGACATTTCGCTCCGGATGCTTTCAAGACGCGCACAAAGGTCACGGGACGTCTGCAACTGAGACGCGGGGCGATCCCTACGCTGTTCTTACCGACGGCAACAGCAGCAAGTGCAACATCATTGGTAAGTGACTCAGTCAAACTTCATTGTCTACTTCGCTATGATAGAGCTTCTAGTATTACATTGTCGCTTTTTCAAACTGTTGTGCGTGCAACTGCAAATCGTTGTAACGCTGCTAACTGAGGTTCACTGCGTAACTTTTACATAAGGTAGAAGTTGCAAACACAGCTTACCATCAGTGGCCTTCTGTGGCAACCAGATTCTCCACTAAACGAAATATCAATAATACATCAATACATCTTCTTTTATATGTATTCCAACTAGCTGCCAAGGGGATCAAAACTGAAAAGGCTAGCAGCTGCGTTTAGCAGTGACAGCCCTGCTGGAGGCTCCATTTCAGTGAGTTTTCTACCGCTTCCCAGTGTGCAATGTATATTGGGTGCAAGCTGCATGTTCTACTACAATTATCTTGCGCGCAGCAACCGCCAGAAGCGTGGCAAGGGCAAGCGGCTGCACATGGATCCTGCGATGCTAGTCAAGGAGCTGGACCAGATGTACGAAGCCTTTGTACCATTCTGGTGACATTTTTTACTGTGGCCATTCAACCCTTTCATTGATTTTGAGAGCAGATTTTTATATGCATCAGGCACACAGACAGCAGCTGAAAATGTTCACTTTTCTGTAGGTTGCTCAACTTCTCAGCTGGCCCAAATAGAGTTGACTCTGTGTGCAGGAGCATTATATTGCACTCAGCCTCCCTTGCATTGTGTTGTAGGCTTACTGCTCCCGGTGTTCTGCCCCTCGTGCAACCGTTGGCACACAGACGGACACTACAGGAATTGGCACCGTAGATTGTGTGACACCAGTGTGTGAGTATGACAGAGTATTTAATTAACTTAATTATTTTGGCAATGCATCAGCATGTTGACAGCCTTTTCTGTAGACTTCATACTAAGCTTGCATTATGTATTGCATCTCTAGCGTCATCGGTCGACCAAGGGTGCAACGCCGCTGTGCTCGCACCACAACCAAATGCAGGGTCCCCAGGAGCGCCCAGACCAGTCGAACCTGCCACAGCTACCAAGGCTCGGGTGCTGTTGCCAGTCCCCGGCACGACAGGCGCTACAGGAACGGCCACTGTTGACCCTCTGACACCAGTGTGTGAGTATGACAGAGTATTTAATTAACTTAATTATTTTGGCAATGCATCAGCATGTTGACAGCCTTTTCTGTAGACTTCATACTAAGCTTGCATTATGTATTGCATCTCTAGCGTCATCGGTCGACCAAGGGTGCAACGCCGCTGTGCTCGCACCACAACCAAATGCAGGGTCCCCAGGAGCGCCCAGACCAGTCGAACCTGCCACAGCTACCAAGGCTCGGGTGCTGTTGCCAGTCCCCGGCACGACAGGCGCTACAGGAACGGCCACTGTTGACCCTCTGACACCAGTGTGTGAGTATGACAGAGTATTTAATTAACTTAATTATTTTGGCAATGCATCAGCATGTTGACAGCCTTTTCTGTAGACTTCATACTAAGCTTGCATTATGTATTGCATCTCTAGCGTCATCGGTCGACCAAGGGTGCAACGCCGCTGTGCTCGCACCACAACCAAATGCAGGGTCCCCAGGAGCGCCCAGACCAGTCGAACCTGCCACAGCTACCAAGGCTCGGGTGCTGTTGCCAGACCCCGGCACGACAGGCGCTACAGGAACGGCCACTGTTGACCCTCTGACACCAGTGTGTGAGTATGACAAAGTATTTAATTAACTTAATTATTTTGGCAATGCATCAGCATGTTGAGAGTCTTTTCTGTAGACTTCATACTAAGCTTGGATTATGTATTGCATCTCTAGTGTCATCGGTCGACCAAGGGTGCAACGCCGCTGTGCTCGCACCACAACCAGATGCAGGGTCCCCAGGAGCGCCCAGACCAGTCGAACCTGCCACAGCTACCAAGGCTCGGCTGCCATCGCCAATCCCCAGCACGGCCCCCGGCTTCGGAGCCCCGGACGAGCCCACCAGTGAAGTCGCTAACCGTCGCAGCTCCACACCCAAACCATCTGAGGACGACCAAAGTGCAGAGCAGGTAAGTTCTGGCGATGAGCCGAATATGCCTTGGTACGCAGAGAACAACGATGGGCTGGAGGACATGTCAGATGACTCCGGTGACTCGGACAGTGAAACAAGTTCCGACATGGAAGAGGGCTCAGACCTCTGCTTTCAAGCTGCGAGCGACGTGGGCCTGGGTGAGGAGTTCCGCATGACTCGTACAATGCGAGAAGGGGCTACTTCACCGGAGGTGTTTACACAGAAATTTGTTTAAAGAAGGCTAAGCATCCAGGTTACTTTGCTGGTGTGACTGGTCTGAGATGATAGCTGGGCAAAAATTTAGCATTGGAAAAAAAATCTGTCAGAAGACCACTGTCTCAGCAGTGTTTCCCATACTAATGCTATGCCAGCTCCTAATCACTTCAAATATCCTTACATTGAAGACAATGACACGGAGGACGACTATGATGCGCCTGGTGAACCCGACAGCTCCTACGTGCTCTCTGCAAATGAGAGCTTCCTGAGGTAACAGTCTTCGAAAAATTCCAGTGTGTATTAAAGTTGAATTTACATTTCTAGTGATCAACAGGACCGTGAAGAGGTGCCACCCCAGAAAGAGGGCAAGTACATTGTTTTTGAGGGGCAGCTCCTGGAGCTCTTCCGGGTGTGCCACACGTGTCTTGCCCCTTGCCGCAACACCACTGTAGTGAAAGGCAGTCTGCTGACAGTGACAAGCACCTGTGAGAACAAGCACACGAGAAAGTGGAGGAGTCAACCGATGCTGGGGGGCAAAGGAGCAGGAAATGTCCTCTTTTGTGCCGGCATTCTCTTTTCAGGTGCCCAGGTCGCGACTACCTTCAGGGTGCTCGAGTCACTTACAATTGCGATGATCACGGAGCGCATGTACTACTACTACCAGAGTGGTTACCTGCTGCCTGTGGTGAAGCAGGTCAGCTAGTACTGAAAGCGGTTCTGAAAATGAAATGACAGTCTTACCCACTTAAATGCCATTATTGCTTGCCAGGTGTACGAACGACGCAACAGCGAGCTCTTGGAAGAACTACGAGGCAAGAACCTTGATCTGGCTGGCGATGGCCGCTGCGACTCTCCGGGGTTCTGCGCCAAGTACTGCACATACACCTTCCATGAGGCGAGCACCAAGAAGCTGATCCACATTGAGCAAGTGCAAGTTCGTGAGGTAAGATTTACTAACCAAGGCAAAAGTGGTTACTGTAGGACTGATATATCTCTTATTTACAATCCCTCATCTTTTGTTAAATTGTATAGTTTAAATGTATTTAGTCAGTGCAATGAGCATTTATGGGTGAACCAAAGAGAGTGGTAGACACGACAGACCTTCTGTCTTTGCCGGTTGATGCAGCTAACAACAACAGATATGGCATTGACAGCGACTGCTGAACCATTAAATGTATACATATTGTAATCAGACAGCTGAAGTGCCCTCGAGCAACGCCATGGAGAAGGTGGCCTTCCTCCGCGGCCTTGCCAAGCTCAAGGATCAAGGCTTCACCATTGCCTCTTTCATGTCAGGTATATAAAATTTACCAGAAGAATTTCGAATCTGCCTATGCTTTTCGGCTCTCTACCACGCAATCCCTCTTCTGCAGACCGCCACCCAGGTGTGGAGTGCCACATGAGGACCATGGAGAGTGGCACAAAGCACTACTTCGACACGTGGCACATCTCCAAAGGTTTGTTGTGCACATTGTTGTTTGCCTACTGGGTTCCTACATGCTGTGGATAACAGATGCCCCCTTTCCAAGGCGTGAAGAAGAAGCTCCTCGCAGCAAGCCGGAGTGGCCCTTGCAAGGATCTGGAGGTGTGGGTGCAGCCGGTAAACAACCACCTGTACCACTGTGCTGCACTGGGGGAAGGAAATGGCCCACTCATGGTAAGCATGTGGATGAGCCTCCTCAACCACGTGGTCAACAAGCATGACGGCCACGACGGACCCTACCACGAGTGCCTGCACCAGCCGCTCTCCGATCGCGCTTGGCTAGCTGTCAGTGAGTTAACTATTTTGTTCATTGTTCACCATAGCCGTGCTGCGATTCTGATGTGGTGGGGTGAGGGGAGGGAGAATGGACATGCCTTGATGATGTCACATAGCTGTATATGTACACTGCAGAACACAGTAAGCACAAACATGGCATCCGCGCTTTTCCATGTTTTCCTCAAACAGGGTATTGAAAAGCGGTCAGTTTTGCTGCCTAACTTAGAGCCCCTAATGAGCAGCTTTCGCTGCACTATTAGTTCCTATGAGAACCTTTCAGGTCTGAGAAAAGCCGGCAACAGCTTGTTCGGGTTAACACTGTCACGCTCTCTACATTTTTCAGGTACACCAGCTTACGAAAAGCTCAGGAGTATCGTTGCAAGCCCGCGGCTTCTCAAGGATATCCAGCACCTGTCCCCCGGAACTCAGACGTACTACGTGGAAGCCTTCAACAGCCTGCTGCTAGGGTTCGCCTCCAAATCTCGGGTTTTTTCACCAGAAGGGATGGAAGCAAGGTAAAGCTAAACTGGCCTAATGGTTCCTTCCTCTATTCAGTTGACCATTTCTCAAAAAAATTTGCTATAGTATATTGTCACAAAATCTTCCTTATCAAATGTGAACAAAAAATTTCGAAAGCGTTAGGCGGGAGACGACGAAGTGCTAGAAGAGGGCACACAGCACTTGCTTTCAGTTCCTGACCAACCGAGCACGGCTGAACTTCCCTTGTGTATACGAATACATTTTATAGGAAGTTCGTTACGAAGGGCAGAACAATGTATGGCCGTATAAAAGTATCGCAACCGGCGGCGTAGATTCACCGAGCTCTCTATTTTGCGCGTGCCGACGACGTTTTTTGTCGCCTTTTATAACAGTAGCTGCCTTTGCACCGCCAAGCGAAGGGCTCGATCGCGTTTCATCACTTCGAACAGCAGCACTGATATCTACAGTCACCCGCTTTTTCTTCAACGACCTTGTCAAGGCTTCTTCAATACCGGCGTCAAATAGAAGCGATCGTGCTCGCCATCGCCTGCTTCCAGTTTATTCGGAGACCGTCTGGCACAGGGGAGGAAGCAGAAACTGTGCAGAAGCGGGTTTGGAGCCGCGGGTTTTTTTGCCGTTCAGTAGGTTCAGTAGGACTCAGACTCGAGTCACTCCGTTCGGAGGCAATGGAGGCGCTACTGAACGCGCCCAATGCTGTAAAGCTTGCAGTGCAGTGTATTGAAGATGGCTTGCTTGGGAAGTTGCTAGTAAAATATCTGAAATAATGCCAACGTGCCCTCGGCTCCCTGAGGCCCCACGACCCCCACTTTGCGCACTTCTGCTGTTGTGCATTGCTTGTAATTGGGAGGACAAGCCTGAGCAGAGCAAGGTCAAAAGTTCCGTTGGTTGTTTTCAAGCCAGCACCCTGTAAACAAGGCTTCATAATTTATCATCAAGTTTGGACTAGCTTTTCAAATTTGAATGTGCTACTCCATTTAGTGTATGAAATTTGTGCCCTGTTGAAACCTTATACTCTTGCGTTAATTCGGCCCCATGCTGTGTCTGTCTTTATTGTAGGACCTTGGTGGCTGTGCTTCATTTCAACGAAAATGTCGGGCGTGAGCAAGCCACAACCAGGGAAGGGGAGCTTTGCTTCAAGATCGCAACACCCAGATCACGGAAGGGCCACTCAACGGCACGCCCGAAGCCAGCCGACGCAACTTTTCGTATGTTATTTTGGAAACAGTGGGTGACAAAACCGTGACACGAGATATCGACTTGCAGAGTACCGTGACGAGCTCCTGGACGAGTTAATGGTCTGCCTGGGGAAATGGCCCACCTTGAAGGAGGCCGTCGCTGCGAATCCGCCGGACCATCCGCCGCCCATGTGTGCCAGCTATCCAAGGCCCCCCAAGAGCGAGCTGATCGTGGCAAGACGAACCCGGTTTGCCTCTCATGCCGGGTATGTTCACACGAGTAGTGAACATTTCTGGTAGCGTGGCTGCTTGATTAACAGCAAAAATATAACAAAAGCGTAGCCCCCCCTTCATCGAAGTGAAGGCAAAGATGATTGTTTTGTGTTTTAATGCGAAAGCATTAACTGGTCTCATGGAGCGAGCTGACCGAAACGCAAAAAACGGCTCCTAGTTTCTGCCGCGACCCCAATAAGAGCGATTCGCCTTCGGTTCCATTGACTGGCGTGCGTCGACGGAGCTCCCATTGGCCGCTGCGGCCTCCGAGATCCATGGCCTCCGAGTTCCCGAAGCGCGCGCGCGCTAGTACGTGATAGAACTCCGGCGCGAGGAACGAGCCGTACGCCATGTTTGAACAAAAGCCAAGCAAGAAGATGACAATGTTTATTGGGATGGCGTAATGTGCGATAACTGTACAAGAAAGACTAAGATCGAGTTTTTTCAGTACGCAGCAGACGACAAAGGGAGCGGCTTGCATGCTTTCGCATTTACAACTCGTAAGAAATGCTTAGGTGTACCTCGAGTTTTTTGCCTTCCACAATAGTCGGTGGCTGCTGGCTATTGTGTGGTGTAGCTCACACTGAAATTTGCACTGCAGATCATCTCAGAAGCTCATCTGAACCACCTACGGCACTCTCTTCACTGCAACCAGTTACTTGTTTATGGCATAAGGTATGCTACGGATGGAGCAGATTTTCTTTTTCCTCCAAGGTGCATGAGTGTATTGTCTGTCTGTGTAACATGTTTTCACTGAAGTAAAGGAAGCGACCCAACTTTGCAAGGCAAGGTTTGTAGCATGCCTTTTTTTGGTGTCACTGTCAGTCGTATTTATTCAAATAAATTGTTACTTTGTTGCTTTCTTTACAGCAGAGGTAAGTTCTTGTTTGCTGCCTGTGTGTGTCTTTTTTTATGTCGCAGGCAGACCCCAGGTTCACAAGTGGACTCTCCTCCCCGCTGCCAGCCGTTAGTCACTGGCCATGAGGTAGGGAAGATAACGAAGCATATTTTTTATCCCTGCAAGCTGCAGGTGCACGCTCGGAACCTGAACGTTCCCTTGGAGCTCAAGGGCGGCCAGTCTCTTCAGCATGCATTGTTGCCTCGCTTTCTGTCTAGTCACATTTATTCAAATAAATTGTTACTTTCTTTACAGCAGAGGTAAGTTCTTGTTTGCTGCCTGTGTGTGTCTTTTTTTATGTCGCAGGCAGACCCCAGGTTCACAAGTGGGCTCTCCTCCCCGCTGCCAGCCGTTAGTCACTGGCCATGAGGTAGGGAAGATAACGAAGCATATTTTTTATCCCTGCAAGCTGCAGGTGCACGCTCGGAACCTGAACGTTCCCTTGGAGCTCAAGGGCGGCCAGTCTCTTCAGCATGCATTGTTGCCTCGCTTTCTGTCTAGTCACATTTATTCAAATAAATTGTTACTTTCTTTACAGCAGAGGTAAGTTCTTGTTTGCTGCCTGTGTGTGCCTTTTTTTATGTCGCAGGCAGACCCCAGGTTCACAAGTGGGCTCTCCTCCCCGCTGCCAGCCGTTAGTCACTGGCCATGAGGTAGGGAAGATAACGAAGCATATTTTTTATCCCTGCAAGCTGCAGGTGCACGCTCGGAACCTGAACGTTCCCTTGGAGCTCAAGGGCGGCCAGTCTCTTCAGCATGCATTGTTGCCTCGCTTTCTGTCTAGTCACATTTATTCGAATAATTTGTTGCATTGTTGCTTTCTTTACAGCAGAGGTAAGTTCTTGTTTGCTGCCTGTGTGTGCCTTTTTTTATGTCGCAGGCAGACCCCAGGTTCACAAGTGGGCTCTCCTCCCCGCTGCCAGCCGTTAGTCACTGGCCATGAGGTAGGGAAGATAACGAAGCATATTTTTTATCCCTGCAAGCTGCAGGTGCACGCTCGGAACCTGAACGTTCCCTTGGAGCTCAAGGGCGGCCAGTCTCTTCAGCATGCATTGTTGCCTCGCTTTCTGTCTAGTCACATTTATTCGAATAATTTGTTGCATTGTTGCTTTCTTTACAGCAGAGGTAAGTTCTTGTTTGCTGCCTGTGTGTGCCTTTTTTTATGTCGCAGGCAGACTCCAGGTTCACAAGTGGGCTCTCCTCCCCGCTGCCAGCCGTTAGTCACTGGCCATGAGGTAGGGAAGATAACGAAGCATATTTTTTATCCCTGCAAGCTGCAGGTGCACGCTCGGAACCTGAACGTTCCCTTGGAGCTCAAGGGCGGCCAGTCTCTTCAGCATGCACTGTTGCCTCGCTTTCTGTCTAGTCACATTTATTCGAATAATTTGTTGCATTGTTGCTTTCTTTACAGCAGAGGTAAGTTCTTGTTTGCTGCCTGTGTGTGCCTTTTTTTATGTCGCAGGCAGACCCCAGGTTCACAAGTGGGCTCTCCTCCCCGCTGCCAGCCGTTAGTCACTGGCCATGAGGTAGGGAAGATAACGAAGCATATTTTTTATCCCTGCAAGCTGCAGGTGCACGCTCGGAACCTGAACGTTCCCTTGGAGCTCAAGGCCGGCCAGTCTCTTCAGCATGCATTGTTGCCTCGCTTTCTGTCTAGTCACGTTTATTCGAATAATTTGTTGCATTGTTGCTTTCTTTACAGCAGAGGTAAGTTCTTGTTTGCTGCCTGTGTGTGCCTTTTTTTATGTCGCAGGCAGACCCCAGGTTCACAAGAGGGCTCTCCTCCCCGCTGCCAGCCGTTAGTCACTGGCCATGACGTAGGGAAGATAACGAAGCATATTTTTTATCCCTGCAAGCTGCAGGTGCACGCTCGGAACCTGAACGTTCCCTTGGAGCTCAAGGGCGGCCAGTCTCTTCAGCATGCATTGTTGCCTCGCTTTCTGTCTAGTCACGTTTATTCGAATAATTTGTTGCATTGTTGCTTTCTTTACAGCAGAGGTAAGTTCTTGTTTGCTGCCTGTGTGTGCCTTTTTTTATGTCGCAGGCAGACCCCAGGTTCACAAGAGGGCTCTCCTCCCCGCTGCCAGCCGTTAGTCACTGGCCATGAGGTAGGGAAGATAACGAAGCATATTTTTTATCCCTGCAAGCTGCAGGTGCACGCTCGGAACCTGAACGTTCCCTTGGAGCTCAAGGGCGGCCAGTCTCTTCAGCATGCATTGTTGCCTCGCTTTCTGTCTAGTCACGTTTATTCGAATAATTTGTTGCATTGTTGCTTTCTTTACAGCAGAGGTAAGTTCTTGTTTGCTGCCTGTGTGTGCCTTTTTTTATGTCGCAGGCAGACCCCAGGTTCACAAGAGGGCTCTCCTCCCCGCTGCCAGCCGTTAGTCACTGGCCATGAGGTAGGGAAGATAACGAAACATATTTTTTATCCCTGCAAGCTGCAGGTGCACGCTCGGAACCTGAACGTTCCCTTGGAGCTCAAGGGCGGCCAGTCTCTTCAGCATGCATTGTTGCCTCGCTTTCTGTCTAGTCACGTTTATTCGAATAATTTGTTGCATTGTTGCTTTCTTTACAGCAGAGGTAAGTTCTTGTTTGCTGCCTGTGTGTGCCTTTTTTTATGTCGCAGGCAGACCCCAGGTTCACAAGAGGGCTCTCCTCCCCGCTGCCAGCCGTTAGTCACTGGCCATGAGGTAGGGAAGATAACGAAGCATATTTTTTATCCCTGCAAGCTGCAGGTGCACGCTCGGAACCTGAACGTTCCCTTGGAGCTCAAGGGCGGCCAGTCTCTTCAGCATGCATTGTTGCCTCGCTTTCTGTCTAGTCACGTTTATTCGAATAATTTGTTGCATTGTTGCTTTCTTTACAGCAGAGGTAAGTTCTTGTTTGCTGCCAGTGTGTGCCTTTTTTTATGTCGCAGGCAGACCCCAAGTTCACAGGGGGTTCTCTCTACGATTACTTTTCTTCCATGCACATAAGCTGTGACTGATTATTTGTATGTTCTTGTGCCTGCCCTTGTTTTGTCTCTAGTTTGAGTGGCTATACTATGCATGTTCTGACATCCCCAACATCCCCCCCCCCCAAAAAAAAAAAAAAAAACAACCCTCCCAGTGCCAGTGATGAAACAATAGACCACTATGCAATGGAGCCTACAATGCAGAGGCCAATATTCTGAGGCTTTACTAAAACAACCTCCCTTTTTATATACTAAACACCCCTTCCCCAGCATATATGTACAACATGTTCATTTTGATAATAAAGAATACGTCACAAAACGATCAGCTTGCAACTGCTTTTATTTCTATAGGCCTCAGCACAGCAACACTGCATTCCTGTTGCGTAAAATACACCAGTTCACTCTGAAGGTACAGTAACATGACTGGAGTACAAGTCCAGCGGAAGACACCAATGGCATGCAGGCACAGTAGCAGCTTCTTTGTTGCGGGCTTAGTGGAGGGGGAAATGCGGTCTATGAGCCGTGCTTAGGGGGGAGGCAAACCTTCATGGGAGTTTGATAACTTGCTAGTGCAGTAAAAGTTAACTGTGGCTAGCCCTAGCGAAAATTGCAATAAAGGTTTTTTATCTGTATTCGATGTATTGGGTTATGGTCCAGTAGGAATAGGTCGTCCAGTAGATCCTAGCGGAACTAACGCGGAAAGAAAGTCGCCTGCTTCTTGGGCATGAGTTGCGGTGACGTGAGGACGGCGCCGAGCTCAGATTGGCTTTGTCAGAAAGAACAGTGGGTAGACCTCAATGCTAGATGCTTAGAGGTCTACCCACTATTTTCTTCAATAAGCCAACAAGTTCTCGGTGCACTGACATTATAACTCCCTGTGTGCATGAAGCAGAAGAGCTTGTGCTCTGTATACGTTTACAGAGCGGGATACGCAAACCCCCGATATACTTCAGACGGATAGGCAGTTCGGATGGCTTGGATGACACAGGAGGGCAGGACTTTCATGTTGCCTTTGCCAAGCCGCTGCCATATCCACCTGGAGAACTGACGGTATGCCACATACCTGTATTTCCTGTTGGAAGGAAGAGAAGTATGCATGCATAAAATTGTCACAAAAGTATGCGATCTCGGGGAGAATTAGTCAACTGAATATCAACCAGCAGATTAGACTAGGCCGAACTTGCAGATAAAAACATTCATGCAGGCCTACATTCTGCATATTCAACCTTACTTATGGGCCGTTCTCTGCCTGAGGAGTTCCCCGTCGTGCAGCTCCATTGCCCTCATGCCATAAGCAATCTGGAGGACGACGGGGTTCAGGATGGCACCAAAAAAGTCTTTGTGGCGCGTGATGCACTTGTTGCCGGCCTTGGCGGTGACCTGGCTGACCTCTTGACAGCACAGGCACTCTCGCGTCGTGGGCATCACAACGCAGTGGCCGCAACTGCACCTTGTAGCATACAATATCGTGCCAGTCAATTCCAGCATAACACATTTATCGCCACCCTCGCCAGTTACGGTACCCAAAGGGACAGTTAGTGGCTGATTAGTGAAGGCACGCGGCACCGCACTCACCGTTTAATAAAAAAATATCAGTTACCACTGCGTGTCCTCGCGGCGGCTTGAAGGGTCGTGCGGCTCGGACGAGCTCGTCGAGGCACCCGCTTCGCCGCCTTCCGCGGCAGATTCTTCGCGCGCGGTTGTCTGGCGGCGATCGGCGCGGACGCCTTCCGGCTGGCGAGGCGTGTCCTCGTACGGGCGAAGGCCCAATTCCTGGCAGCGTTGAAGCAACCGACGCTTCAGGTCAGGGTCCATTGCGACGACTATGTACTGTCTAGTCTGCACGACCACGGCACCACGGTACGTTCACAGTACGACGTGGTACGGCGTGCGACCGGCAGATACAGGAAGTAGCAATGGCTCTCGTACGGGGCGCAGCCAAGCAGCCAAGCCGATCCACTACGAAGGGGCGGGGAGTACCTCTCCTCCACGCGCCCGAAATGCCGAGAGAGAGAAGATGCGGAAAGGAGGTGACTACCGACTAAATTGCGTCTAACGCAGCCAATATTGCTCTAAAAAAAATTTTTTTCGCGTAAAATTTATTTTTTGACACGCGTGTCCCAACCAGACTGTTTAAAAAAAAACTTTTTTTTTCTTTTCAGGGGCCCTTTAAGGAGGCGATTCTGGAATACCTGAGTATTTACAGGGCAACTCCCCATGCGACCACCGGCATGCCTCCGGCATTTTTGCTACACGGAAGGCGGCCACGAACAAGACTGGACGTCGTGGGACTACCGGAGAGAGGGTTTTTCAATGAACCGCGGCCTCAAGTCGCCGAACTGCAACGCCGTGTCAAAGAGCGACAGCAGAGGACAAAGAAATACACCGATGAAAGACGGGGTGCCAGGCACTCCATCATTGAACCCGGCGACTTCGTAAAAATAAAGAGGTGGGGAGGACCAAAAGGACAGCAGAGGTTTTCTTTGCCAATAGAAGTAAAAAAAACGCGTGGGAAAAAAATTCCTTCCTTTTAGACAATGGGAAGAAATGGAACGCTGCCAAATTGACAGTAGTGGCCAAAGGAGGAGCACCAGGTGCCCGGAACTTGGTAGAAAAAGTTATGGAACGACGTGGATCGGTAAGAGACCAGTTATGCGACCTGGATTTGCCCACTGAAGAGGGGGCATCACAACTACCATCACCACGGGACGTCGCAACTGCCAGAACCCCAGAGACATTATCGCCAGGTGACGACAGCGCTACCGTCGCTACGCACGGAGCGGAAGCTGCACGGGGTGCTGAGACACTTCCAGACGCTACACTTCAGGAGACTGAAATCTTGTCGACACCAGCAGATTCGGCGCCAGCTCAAGAGCAAGTCGAAGCGCAGGACATCTCCGGCCAACAAGAGTTGTTGACCACGGCACCGTCGTACAGCAGGCCTCAGCGACAAAGAAGAATGCCCGGAAAATACAATGATTATGTTTTACACTAGAATTATCTGTTAAAGTGGTTCCAGAGCTATGTGACTAACTGTAATTATTGGTGAAAGTTGTGTTCTAGTTACTGGGGTTTTGTTTGTTTAAAGGGGGGAAATATGTTGTGTATAGAGGGCGCTGAACTCATGCATTACCAATTGTATATAAGAGCATCACCATCGGCATAAGGATCAGTCAGCGTCCAAAAAAATAAAAAAGATGACGCTGCCATGGTGCAGCGTGCAGCTTCCGCTCCGTGCGTAGCGACGGTAACGCTGTCGTCACCTGGCGATAATGTCTCTGGGGTTCTGGCAGTTGCGACGTCCCGTGGTGATGGTAGTTGTGATGCCCCCTTTTCAGTGGGCAAATCCAGGTCGCATAACTGGTCTCTTACCGCTCCACGTCGTTCCATAACGTTTTCTACCAAGTTCCGGGCACCTGGTGCTCCTCCTTTGGCCACTACTGTCAATTTGGCAGCGTTCCATTTCTTCCCATTGTCTAAAAGGAAGGAATTTTTTCCCACGCGTTTTTTTTACTTCTATTGGCAAAGAAAACCTCTGCTGTCCTTTTGGTCCTCCCCACCTCTTTATTTTTACGAAGACGCCGGGTTCAATGATGGAGTGCCTGGCACCCCGTCTTTCATCGGTGTATTTCTTTGTCCTCTGCTGTCGCTCTTTGACACGGCGTTGCAGTTCGGCGACGTGAGGCCGCGGTTCATTGAAAAACCCTCTCTCCGGTAGTCCCACGACGTCCAGTCTTGTTCGTGGCCGCCTTCCGTGTAGTAAAAACGCCGGAGACATGCCGGTGGTCGCATGGGGAGTTGCCCTGTAAATACTCAGGTATTCCAGAATCGCCTCCTTAAGTGGTCTCCGCTCCAGTGCCGCCACCTGAATATACTCTTTTAAGACGCGGTTAAATCGTTCTATTTGACCGTTTCACTGCGGGTAGTACAGCGAGGCCACACAGTGTTCAATTCCTCTGTCTTGTAGGAACCCTTCAAACTGTGTCGACATAAATTGTCTGCCATTGTCAGTGACAACACTCTTTGGGTATCCTTCCCTCGCGAATAGCTCCAGCAACACTTTCGTCACCGACTGAGAAGTTATCGACGACACAAAAAAAAACCTCCGGCCACTTACTGTGATAATCAATCACAGTTACTGCAAATCTGCACTCTGGAGGGGCTCGTTCCATCGGGCCCACAATATCCATGCCCAGCTTTTCCCAGGGCTTTTCGGGCCATTGCACTGGTTGTAGAGGGGCCACCGCGGTCTTTGCAGACTTGTCTGATGCCTTGCACACAGCGCAGCTTCTAATGCAGTTTTCCACGTCTTCGTCCATCCCAGGCCACCAATACTGCTCCCGGAGTCGCTGCTTTGTCCTGACGATGCCCGGATGCGATTCGTGGGCCATCATGATGAATCTGGACACCAATGTCGATGGAGGCACCACCCGCTCTGCACGAAACAGCACCCCCTCCAGAACAGAAAGCTCTTCTTGAATCCGCCAAAATGATAGTAGCTTTCCTGACAGACATTTCTTTTCTGGCCAACTAGATGTGACATACTGCATCACGTCTCGTAACACGCCGTCCTTCTCTGTCTCCACTTGCAATTGGTGCTTTGTTACCTCGCTTGACACCACAGCAATGACCTCCTCTACTGGGTCGCACTCTGTGGACAGCAAGGGCAACCGGGAGAGTGCGTCAGCGACTACATTATCTTCTCCTTTCGTGTATTGTACAGTAAAATTGTACCTCATCAGCCTTGCACACCACCGCTCTATCCGAAGTGGCCGCCTTCCGGTGCCATTAGTAGAGAGCAATGTTACCAATGCCTGGTGGTCCGTTCGCAGCACAAAAATTCTGCCCCACAAGTACACATGCCAGTGCTCGCAAGCCCACAGACATGCCAGGGCTTCTCGTTCTCCCGTAGAGTATTTGCGTTCCTGTGGCGTCAACGTCCTTGATGCAAATGCTATCGTACGCGTCTCACCGTCGATCACCTGTTGCAGTACCGCTCCCAGCCCATATGCCGATGCATCAGTTGTTACCTGTACAGGTAAGGACCGGTAAAACATGGATACTGCGCTGCACGACGCTAGTAGGTTCTTAGCCTTGCCGAAGCTTTCCTCAGCGTTCTGGTCCCAGATGAACTCCTGGCCCTTGCGAAGAAGGCGCCGCAGTGGCTCCACCACTTCTGCATAATGAGGGAGGAAATGAGAGTAGTATCCCATGAGCCCAAGAAAAGAACGCAACCCCACCAAATTCGTAGGCGTCTGTGCATTGATAATCGCGTTCACTTTTGATTTGAGGGGTGCGAGACCCCTTGCGCTCACATGGTGACCCAAGAACGACAATTCCTCTACCCCGAAGACACATTTCGTGTTCAGTTGCAGGCCAGCGGCCGCTATTCGCTGCAAGACCTCGCGCAGATGACTGTTGTGTTCTTTCTTATTTTTGCCAAAGACAATAATATCGTCAATATACAATAGGACGCCCTTGACACCTTTCAATATTTCTTCCATCATTCGCTGAAACGCGGCGGGCGCCGAAGCAAGGCCAAAACAGACTCTACGGAACTGAAACAGTCCCTCATGTGTGGCAAACGTCGTCAGTGCCCGGCTGTCTTCTGACAACTCGACCTGGTGATAGGCTGACGCCAGGTCCAGTTTAGAGAACCATGCTGCTTCGTTCAAAGCGTGCAGAAGCTCCTCCGTGTGCGGCAACGGGAAGCCGTCAACGACAATGGCCTTGTTTGGCTCCCGTGAATCTACGCAGAGTCGGATGCTCCCGTCTTTTTTTTTTTACCACCACTATTGGAGACACCCACTCAGAAGCGTTTACCCGTTCGATAATGCTTTCACGCTCTAATCTTAACAACTCAGCAGAGACTTGTTCTCGCAACATCAACGGTAATCGCCTAGCTTTTGCTGATATTGGTTTGACGTTGGGGCGCAGTTTAACTTCGTGTACCACGTTTTTAGCAAGTCCCAGTTTCCCCGCAAAGAGGAATGAAAACTCACTAAGTTCAGGAGGCAGAGGTTGTGGCCCCGCCCTTGTCTGTAGGCACGCCAGCGATGCGCCGTCGATATGCAGTAGTAGTTGTTGCACCGCATCCAGTCCCAGCAACGCCATGCCCCTTGACACCACATAGAAGCGAATGTTTGACGACACGCCTCCACGTGCCGCTTGAGCCACAAAACATCCCAAGACTGGAATTCTTTGCTGTGAAAAGTCCCGCAGAGTCACCGTTGCTGGAGCCAAGGCGAACCGTGTTGCAAATTTTTCTTGATAGATGTTTGCTGGCAAGATAGACACTGACGAGCCTGTGTCCACGACAAGCTGAATCACTTCGCCCTCGACGCAAACGTCGACTATCAGAGTGGTTCGCTCGTTCTGTGTGACTGTTAGGACACCCAACTCTTCGTTTCCGTCTGTGTCCTGAACCGCTTGCACC